ATCACCTCGCGCGGGCGTCATGATCGTGCTTTATTTGAGACATGTTTCATGGAAGGATCCAGAGGCACGCAAAACTAAACTTGCGGCCGAGCTGGCGAACGGCCGCCTGGCGATGATGGCCATCATCGGCCGCTTGGCGTGATCTGTGGCTGCACAGGTTGAGCTGCACTCTGAGTTCGAGACGTTGCCCAGGCATGTTCTTCCAAGATGGTCTTACAGGATCTGCCTGGGGAGACTGGAGCACATACACGGCGTCCCCCCTGAGGGCTTACGACCCCTCGGAAGAGGTCGGGGCCATGCCACCTCTGGGCTTTTTCGACCCCTTGAACTTTTCCAAGCCGGGCCGACCGCTGGGCGTGTTCCTCCAGGACCTGAGCGATGAGGAGAAGTTCGCGTGGCTTCGCGCCGCAGAGCTGAAGAATGGCCGCGTGGCGATGATGGCGACCGTCGGAGCGGTGTTTCAGCACTTCGTGCGACTGCCGGGCTTCGAGAACATGCCTGCCGGCATCAAGGCCATCGAAAAGGCTCCCGGCAGCTACGGCTTCGTGATCCTTTGGATCTTGGCCGGCGTCCTCGAGCTTGGGCCGTGGAGGCAGGTTGCGGACAAGGAGCCGTACACAGATCTGAGGATGATTGATGATATCAATATCAACGTACGAATCATACGAGACTGCAAGATAGTTACGCTGCCGCGAATTCTGAAAGCCGCATGTCTGTGTGTGTATATAGATGTGTATGTATGCATGTATGTATGTATGCATGCATGCAGGAGCCCGGCAACTTTGGCGATCCCATGAACTTCAACCAGTACACCAAGGAGATGCGAGAGCGGGAGATCAACAACGGCCGTTTCGCCATGTTTGCGGCCATCGGCATCATCGCCGCCGAAATGTACACAGGCAAGGATGCCGTCGAGCAGTGGGGATGAGCGGTCTGCTTTTTAAATACAGGTTCAAAAATTGTTTGTTATGGTGTTCAGCTGAACCTGCTGAGCCCAGCAAACCCGCGTATGAGCCGCGGGAGTCATCGATTTGCTGGCCTTTGGCGAAGCTATAGGCGCCGCTTTATTCTTAGTGGCAGAGCCCATTTTCCTTATCCAGCTTGCAATCAAAACACTGCTGCAGCCAATCCCGGCATTGCCTTGCTGTGAATGAGAATAACAGGGCCTCATCAAGAAGGAACAAATCACATGACGGGATCCCCTTATGATATTGGCTGCTTGTCTCGAACCCGAATCACGGGACCGTGAAGTTGGAAAGCTGAGGTGGAGATAGCTTCCTGACTCACCAGATCCGGAAGATGGTGGCCACCGCGGCCTTGGCCATTTGGGCTTAAGGTAAGGTGTTCGAAATGCGGTTAGCCCTCTCCACATATGTCGGGTTTGAAAAGTTGGGAGTTTAATCTGGGTCCATGAGGCTTCATGGCTTCCTTGATTCCTGAAAAGCGCGGAGGGCTTACCGAATCGCTTCCACCTGTGCAGGTTGCTCAGGGCATATTGTCGCTGGAATTCATCCAAGCTGCCATGCACAGGCTGTGGGTTGTTGTCGCAGTCTTCGGAAGAGGAGTCCAGGAAGGTGAACTGTTCCAGATGGGCTTCAATCTCCGCTCCAGACTGGCAAACCTAGGGCATAGCTGCAACTCCTTGTTCGGCCAAGCTCGAAGTTCTGTGCTCTCGGGCAGGCGCATCTACGTGAAGACGCACCTTGCTTGCATGCAGTCAATATTCACCTCGGCTGGTGAAGCGAGTTGGGTCAGCACTCTCGCACGAGTCAAGGCAGCGGTTTCCGCCGGTCGGGCTGATGTTCCAAAGGCCTCTTTTTGGTGCCAAGGAAGAAATGCCTCTCACTCCCCGCTTGTGCAGGCCGTTCTTCAGCCCGAAGACTCCGCAGCGTGCCGGTGTGGAGGCGCATGAACCGCCGGAGTCGGCATTCTTCCCAGTTCCAGTATCTTGTGCCCATCGCCCCCCACGATTGCCTCGCATCTCAAGCATGACAAGGGGAGTAAAATGTAAGTAGCTCCGACGTGTGGCGGAGGCAGCGCTCCAGTCTGAAGCTGTCTCCGACCGCATTGCTGCTATGAAGGTCGGCTGTTTTGTGTTTGAACACTGGCTTGTTGTGCATATCTGCTATCTGCACTGAAGTACTCTTCCGCAACTTTTCAGCACATGTTCTGCTGACCAACGCGAGACTTGTGATAGATGGTAATGCGATTCCGGCAGGCTCTGTGGGCACGCCTGCGCTAGTCGTAGATGCCGGCATGCAGCCGTGTCCCAAAAGTCCCAAAAGGGGTGTTTTGGTGAGGCGCGCCTCGAGGAGGCCATCCTCAAGGCAGGGCCCGCCCGGCCCGCCGAGCCGCAGAGCGCTTCCCGGATTTCGTCAAGCTTTCGGAGGATGTCCGCATCTGTCCGCCTTTTTCGTGCCAGGAAGCGGATGATCGGCGAAGCGCAGCGGCCTGCCGCATTTGAGTCTCGGGGGTGCTCAGAGATGGTGAGTTTGAGGCTTAAGCGCAGAAGCCCGGGACATCGATTTCGCACGTTGAGGTGAAGTGGCTGGCCTGCGTGGCGCACTTCGTCGGAAGCTGAGTGCTTGTACAGGGTCCATCAGTATTTATGTGTTCGGAAGTGTTTGCAGCCATCGCGTTGTCAGTCTGCAACATGACAGAATGACAGAAAGTAGACGGTGTGACGTCATCACCAGGAGCCGGAGGACATGGAGAGCGAGGCTATCCGCAGCTTCACGGCCCTCTGCAGTTGTGGATGTTTAGTTTGTTTTCTCGGGATGCTGGTTCCTTGTAGGAGGACCTTCCTGTATCGATCGGAGATATCTTTCCAGCCCGGAATCCCTGCCCTGTCTTACTTCCAAAGCATATGCAGACGACGTATTGCGGTATGGATTGCGCAACCAGAATCAAGCACCACTCAGTTTCACCGTCGATACAGGTCCTCAAGGAGTTTCGGGAGCTGAAGTCCTCAATGGATCGGCAGATTCGTGGGCGGCGTGCAGCAAGCACCCAGGCTCCTCGGTTTGTGCGGCTGGCTAGGGATCACCCTTGTGGTCGTGCTACGTTGCGCCGTGCTTCCGGGAAGTAGCCTTGGCAACGGTGACTTTCCATCGTCGGAGAGACCTGCAGGTTGTGTGCATCCGTGCCGGCGAAGGAAGCGATCTTTGGCCCTCCCCTTGGCACAGACAGTTTGACCATCAGCCCAGTGACGTGGCGATGGAGACCTCGATCCTTTTTTTTCACAGATCAGCTCTTCCACGCTTCACCTCTAGGGTCCCTGACTCTCCAAGGTTGGGCCGCCACTTCCAGAGCAGATAGGTTCTCGCGTGGAAAAAAAGCATTCTGCGACGGTGCAGCGACGTGTTAGACGTTTAGAGAGTACAGTGCGCCGTCAAGATGTGAGCCACCCGGCAGGGCTTTCTCAACTGTCTCGGAAGCCAACGGGAGTTTCAGATGCACTTTAGCTGCTGCCGCGAGGCCCACCACGGGAGCCAAACCAGCCTCCGCCTGGCTACGTGGAGAAGTTGCAGGTGAGAGTTTTTGGGGTTAACGCGCCCGAAGAAGAGCAATCAAACAAAGGACCGTCACCACCACCACCACCACCA